AAACCATGCTTGGGAAGCTGCTGGCCTAGCAGTGGTGTTGACTGCTCATCTGCAGGAAGTCTTAGGCGGACAGAGGAGCCAGACTTGCAAAATAAGAAAGATAAAAGCATCTGTAAAATTGTCAGGATTTCTCAGAACATTGACTTTGAACAATTTTGAAAGGGGTTGGTCTTCATAAATTTATCCTCTTTCCCCAGTCCATCATCTGTCAAGTTTTCAGGTTCAACCAACATTTGGGGTACATCTCCACCAAGTTGGGTTATATTAATTGGCAGCAGGTTGCTAGTGTGGGCAATAGATTGTAGTATCCCCATTTTCCAGATGAGGGAAGTGAGGCTCTGAGAGGTTAAGTAATTTGCACAGCATCACAGGCTAGTCAGAGGCAGCACTGGTTGGCCTGCCTCCTGCTCCAGGGCTCCTTCTTCTCCTCCCCGCCCCAGCCCCTGAAGCTGAGGTGACTGGCCCCTGGGGACAATTATGGCAACCCAGATTCTAGGTCTGGCCCCTCACTGCAGGACTATGTGGTTTCCCAAGTCCCATTACTGCTCTGGGCCTCAGTTTGGACATCTGTAAAGATGAGCCCTGTGACCCCCTAACAGCTCCAGGGTGAACAGTGTCAGAGGTGTCTGCTCCATGCCTTTGGCCTAAGCATCCAGTTATAAAAACTGAACAGCCGGCATACAGCCCCACACCCTCCAGGGCCTATGGGGCCAGGAATGACACACCTGGCTTTCATTCAAAAAACTCAAAATAGAGATGTCAATCAAAATTCTGATTGTTGTGGTATTCTGCATGCCAATCTCTGAGACAGAGGATGGTTAGGTTGCCGGGGGGCCAAGGAGAGGAAGTAGTGGGAGGAAAGTAGGCAGAGGGCTAGGTCCTCTTTCTCATATTCTCCCATCACCTCCACTTTGAGGCCTGAGGAAGGGGCTGGGCTGAGCAGGAGGGGATGAAGAGGGAGAGAGAATATATTCAGGCTCTAGTGAAGCCTGGGCCCCGTGTTCTGCCCTCAAGAGTGGCAAATCAAAGAGGGCCACACATTCTTTGCCATGATTGGTGCTGGGCCAGTTTCCAAGCCTTAAGAGACCAGAAGTTTCATTTCCTGTCTCTTAGGACCCTTGCTCTGGAGTCCCTGAGCCTCCAAGTGAGGAGTTCGACTCCCCTTCTGGAGAGGACACGCAGAGAGACCCTGAGAGTGCCTGGAGAAAGAGAAGGGCCCAGCTGGGTCTGGCTTCCAGAACCTTTCAGATGTCCCTACTGAGGGATGGACATGAATGAAACCATCTTAGACCCTCCAGAGCAGACCAGCCACCACCGAATACCAGCAAGTAACCCCCATAGTCACCAGGCAAAGCAGAAGAAATCACCCAAACTCCCGGCCATAAAACTATGAGATATAATCAACTGTTGCTTTAAGCTGGTAGATTTGGGAGTAGTTCGTTAGGCAGCATGGACATGGAATACTCAATGTTCTCCCATAGAAGGAGCCTGGGCATTCAAGTGGGGCACACCTGGGCCCCCTTTTCTAGCACTCTGCTTCTTGCTTTCCTCAGCTGTAAAGTGAGCAGAATGAAACCTCCCAGGGGTTCTCAGTGACCACTCAACGAGCTGATCTGCAATGGTAGCAGGGACGTAGGAAATGCCCACCACCAGAAAGGGGACCCCTTGGCTCCCGCAGCTGACGTTCACAGGCGCTGGGCTCGGAGCCTGTCCACACGACAGCTCAGCCCCTTACGAGAAGCAGTCTGCACCCCGCTGGCTTTGGGAACGTCCCAAGCGGCAACTCTTAGGTAACCTGTGAATTCAGACTCCTGTGTCAGTGAGAGAGTCCTGGGAGGGCCTGGGGTCAGTAGGTTCCCGCCCCCGCTCCTGCCTCGGCTCGGGGGAGGGCCCTCACCTGCTTTAGCCAAACGTTGGTGGTCATCATTTGGTTCTTCTCATCCTGGGGAGTAGCAGGAGAGAGTCAGAACAGTAGAGTGCTGGAACCGGCCCCAGAAAACAGGGGGGAGTGGGATGGGCTGACTCCAGCCCCCCACTCACCGGGAGAACCTCTTACACTATACTGTAGGCTCAGCCCACCCAGCACCCCTTCCTGACACTGCCACCAGATTCTTCAGGATCGCACAGGCCACTTGGGCCCTCTGGGCTGGTGTCAAGTGGAACAAGCAGGTCATCTAGAAAACCCACTGCTGCCAATCAATGCCTTCTCAGGAGGGGCTCCAGGGCTGAGAGAGTGGGAGGGAGTTGTGGCACCCCTGGGCTCCAAAGGATGATGCTCTAATGTGGTGGGCTGTGAGGCCCAGAGGGAGAAGGGCTGGTGCTGGGGAGGGAGGGAGCATCCCGGGAAAGGGACCCACAGTCTGGGGCTGATTCCGAGGGGGCAGAGGATGGCAGGACAGGCGCACCACATCGATGAGCTGGGCGATGGACAGCCCGAAGCGCACAATCACCACGTCCGAGGTGTTGGGCACTGGGCGCGCCCAGCGGTTGTAGCTCCTGAAGAGGTGTTTGAAGAGGCGGTCCTCGGCTTGGGTCTGGGAGGCTTGCTGCGGCAATGCTGTGGGACAGGAGGGAAGAGTGAGGTCTCCGGGAGCCCATCGTGGTGGGTGCTGGGCCCCCTCTCCCATCAAATCAGAGCCACTCAACCTCACTCAGCCTCAGTTTCCTCATCTGTACAATGGGGACACTAATCCAGAATCTATCTCAAACATTGTTGAGAATTAAATATAATAACGTATGTTAGAGCTTAACAAAGCAAGCAGCACATGGTTGGAGCTCAAGAGATGTCAAGGACTCTGCAACTACGAGGTAAGGAGGCACGGAAATAAGTGCTGGAGACAGTGCAGAGGCATGGGGGTGGGGACAAAGTCAGACCTGGAGACAAGATTCCGCTGTGAACTGAGGAGCCCTGAGGGGGACAGCAAGTTGGGGCAGACCCCTGGACCACGTTGGGTGAACTGCAGGGAGCAGGGCTTCATGCATTACGATGGCCTACAATTCCCATCCACTGGTCAGTGAACCACTAGCTAACCACGAAATCCTCTGCCATTTCAGGCATCTCCCCTATTTTTTCTTAACCCACTGACATTTGCTCCTTCCTGTTAGTTAGACAGCATCCCAAAATTGTCTGATGGAATCATTCATGTCTGTTTTCACCATGTTCTGCAAACAGCTTCACCTCTTCAGGGTTCTGCTGCCCGAGCAAGTCGAGAACCACTGCTCTAAATCCAGACAAGCGCATCCGTAGCAATAGTTGCGGTGTATTGAGTGCCTATTGTATCCCCAGTGCTACTGTATCCCACAAACTGTCATTCTTGTGGTCCCCACAGTAGCCCTGGAGGTTCACAGGACCTTTGGCGTTTTGCAATGAGAAACACTGAGCTCGGGGAGGTTCAGGGTGACCAGCTGCCAGTGTCAGAGTTGTGAGTGCCCCTCCACCTTCTCACTGTGGAACGAGTCCCCTGCAGCCGTGGCTATTGCCACGAGCCCCCCTGCAGAAGCTTCCCCCATGCGGCAGTGAGCTCACGGGGTGAGGTGACGTCCTAGTGATCACACCCACTCACCTGCTGGGATCAGATGGAGCAACCACAGGCCGAGCCTCGTCACGGGCAGGTGTGCAGAGTGGGAGAGGCCCATGGTTTCAGAAGAGGGGTCTGGCTGCCCCTGGACATCAGAAGCAGGGCAGGCCAGGCTCTGCTGTGGGTTGAACCTCCAACTGCTTCTCCAGCAGGGCCTCAAGGAGCTGGCACAGCAGAGGTCCTGCTGGATTTCGAGTGGCTCCCTCTCACTGCCGAACCTGAGCAAACCCAGGAAAGGGTTCTTAGGGTTGTGTATCCTTGACACGATATACCTTTGTTCTTCACATACTATAGAGGTGTGAAAGGTGAACAAATAGGCCTCCCAGGAGTTGAGGACTCTTGAGCTCTCCCTGGCTTCATTGAAGAACCAGCATCTACCTCTTTTTCTAGGGTCAAGCAGCTACTGCACCCTATGATAAGCCCTGACCTGCTGGATAGAGGAGAGCATACGACAAGATTGAAGTCCCCCTTGCTTTGGCCTCAGTGTCTCATCTGTAAAATGGGGATAAACGTACCACAAAAGATGGTCAATAAAAGAATATGGGTACTAGTCACGATAGCCAAAAGGTGGAAGCACCCAAATCCCAATCAACTGGTAAACAGATAAATAAAACAAGGTGTGTCCATACAATGGAATACTATGCAACCATGAAAAGGAATGAAGTGCTAATACATGCTGCAATATGGATGCACCTTGAAGACATTAGGCAAACTGAAAGATGCCAGATGCAAAAAACTACATACTATGTGATTCCATGTATATGAAATATCCAGAATAGGTAAATCTTTGGAGACAGAAAGCAGATTAGTGGTTTGAGGGGTCTGGGGGGAAGGGAGAAAAGGGAGTGACTGCTAATGGCATGGGTTTCTTTTTGGGGTGATGAAAATGTTCTGCAATTAGATAGCGGTGGATAATTAATTAGTGGTGATGGTTGCACAACTCTGAAGATAATAAAATTCACCAAATTGTATATTTTAAGAAGGTGAATTTTATGGTATGTGGATTATATCTCAAAAAAGCTTATTAAAAAAATAAAGACCTTCTCGATTAATAAGAAATAGCCAACTCTCTTTAGACTGTAGGGACAATGATAATGATATAGGCCAGACATGGACTGCTGATTCCAAAACTGGTTCTAGTGATGAGAAAGACACGATGTCAAGATATGAGTGAAGTGTTGAATGTTTCGTAAATGGGAAGGGTCAGGAAAAAGCCATATTGTTAAGTTAATGTATTAATATAGAGAGAATGTGATTTAAAATGTGTGTCACTTGAATAATACATTAAATATTACTCTAAAAAGTTTACATACATTAGCTTTTGGGTTTTTTTTGACAACCCTCCCTATTCGGAGATGGGGAGGTCTGTGTTCAGGCACACAATGTTTGTATCAGCTGACGCCTGCGTGTCAGGCACCGGCCATGTCGTCGAGATGTAACACTGAGTCTCAGTGCAGAGATGGGGCACAGGGCGTCCAGCTGGGCAATGATGATATCCTGGAACTAGACAGTGGTGATGCTTGCACAACATCGTGAATGTACTAAGCATCTGTAACAGTAAATTTTATGTTATGTATATTTTATCACAATTTAAAAAGAAAAAAATATAAGTGAAAGTGCTCTAAAAACATAACCACCAAGCACATGGGGGAATCATTCCTATCGCTGATGGAGTTGTGAAACCTCTTCTCTCCGGTGCATTCTCACCCCCTAGGCCACTGTGTCCCAGCTCTTCCAGCAGCAATTCCATCACCTGTGCTCCACGTCTCCCCAGGTGGTCACTCCACCCCCTCCTGCCCTCCGTGTGGAGAGAAGCTGGTGAATGTGGCTTCGAGTCCTGGCCCCACCACTTACTGAGCAGATTTGTGCAGGGCACTCAGCCCTGCTGGGATTTTGTCTCATGTGTAAGATAAGGATAGCTCACTCTGCCCTGCCCACCTCTCAGGACAGGGGCAAGGAGCAAATGGAATCATGCCCACGAAAGCTCCTGAGAACTGCAGATGGTGGGGTAAGGGAGCCGGTGGCTGCTGTGGTTATCAGGCACAAAGACCCGATGGCATTGCACATTGACGGTTTGTGCCAACTGGAGGAAGAGCGGGTGTGGGAGGGGTTTGACGTGAATTTCAATGTGTTGGAAGTTCTAGAACATATTTATTATAACAGGCTTTTCCAGACTGTGTTTGGGGGAAGAAGGTCCTCCTGGATCAATTTTCTCAGAAAGTTTCAACTCAAAGACTCGTTAGAGATTGACAATTACATTCATCTCCTGTTCACTCAGGAGAATATGGTCCCTGACAGCGAGCCACCCTTACCCTGGACGCCACACCACACCTCACCCCTGCCCCAGGTTTCCTCACTTAGCAGTCCTAGCTCTCTCGGGGGTTCTTGATTCCTTCCTGGCCCCAAAAACCCTAGATAGCAAGTAGAGTAGGCCAATGGTGCCCAGAAGGTGGCTGTTTCGGAACATCTAATGAGCACTGAGACAGAACAGCCCACAGCTCTCCCAGAAGCGGTCCCTGGGGTTCCCAGGGGGGTGGAGCAGGGAATCCTGGCAGTAGGAAGCTTCCTCCGTAGATAGCACCCCCTACACAACCCCCTTCTGGAGCTGCTTCTGTGCAAAAAACAAATGCTGGAGCACCACTGGCAGAGCTCTCAGATGCGAGTGCAGCTTTATATACACGTGAACGAACATCCCCCTGCACATCGTGCATAATGTTTGTGCAGCATCTGCGGCTGCCTGGGTCTTGACAGCTCCTGGGGCACAGGTGAGCTGCAGCGGCCAGGTCTGGGGGCTCTGGCCCTCACAAGTGCAGGGCCCTGGCTCCTGGGGGCTTCCCTAAAGCAGACCCATCACAGCAGAAACAAGCACAGCTAATCTATTTCCGGAGAAAGCTGTTATTACCAGTGCTGTAGACTGAATGTTTGTGCCCCCACCCAAATTCATATCTTGAAGCCCTTTCCCCTAATGGTATTAGGAGGCGAGGCCTTTGGGAGGTAATTAGGTCATGAGAGTGGAGCCACCGCTAATGGGATTAGTGCCTTTATAAAAGAGGCCCCAGAGAACTCCCTCACCCCTTCCACCATGTGAGGACACGGCGAGAAGGTGCTGGCTGTGAACAGGAAGAGGGACCTCAGCAGACGTCGAATCTGCCAGCACCTTGATCTTGGACTTCCCAGATTGCGAGAAATAAATTTCTGTTATTTGTAAGCCATGTGTCTGTGGTATTTTTGTCATAGCAGCCCATGAACTAAAACAACCATCTTGCTCTTTTCTGATCATCTTTTCTACGTACATGTAGATCACCTGGGTTATCTCTGGATGCAGCAATTAAAGGCAATTCTTACTTCTTTTTGACATTTTTCTACATTTTTCAAATTTCCTATCATAAGTATGTATTAAATATGATAAAGTATTTTTAATTGGGCAGTGACGTCTGCTGTGTGTTTTACATGCCCTCCCCTATCTCATGATGGAGGGGCCTCTCATCCCCCAAAATGCGTGTAGATCTGTGACTCCATTCCTCCATCTGAATGGAGTGCAAGTAACCAAAGTCAACTGTATAAAAGGTGGATGCAAACCAAATGTCCATCGATGGAAAAATGGATAAACAAATGTGATCTAGACATACAATGGAATATTATTCAACCCCAAAAAGGAATGGAATTCTGATACGTCTATGGACATAGATGAACCTTGAAGACATTATGCTAAGTGCAATAAGCCAGACACCAAAGGACAAATATTGTATGATTCACTTATTTGACTACCTAGAGTAGTCAAATTCATAGAGCCAGAAAGTCGCATGGTGGTTGCCTGGGGTTGAGGGAAGGGGAGAGTGGGGAGTTATTGTTTAACGGGGACAGGGTTTCAGTTGGGGAAGATGCAAATCTCTGAAGATGGATGGTGGTGGCAGCACAACAAAGTGAATGTACTTAATGCCACTGAACAGTACACCTAAAAATGGTTAAAATGGTAAATTACGTGTATTCTAACACATTAAAAAATACTTGGAATAAAACAGGTAATAAATATCCAAAACTCATCTAAAAAAAAGTCAGCTGTGTTCATAAGGAATCACCTTAGGGTTGAGGCAAAAATGAGGCCATGAAATAGGATCCCAGGACTGAACTCCTCATGTGGGCTCCCAAGTTGGGACAAAGGTTGACAGGGTCTTTTGGAGAAAAGCAGAAGTCCCTATTGTGAGCTCTTTGAGGTGGGGACTGTGTCTTATTCGTCTTTTATCTCCAGTCCCAAGCACCGCCCCTTGCACTTAGCAGGGGTTCACTTTGTGGGTTCCAGGTATGTAGGGCCACCTGTGAAAGGTGCCCGGGGAGGAAGAGGGTTCTGGAAGAGTCCATGGAGATCAAGGCTTATGGCTTAGTTTAGAGGGCAAGACTGTCAAACATTAGTTCCCATAATCCAATTGTTTATTCTTTTGTTTATTCATTCATCTTTCCACTTCCTCATCTGTTACAGAGCTAACAATGTGCCAGGCATCAGGCACAGAGAATTGAGCATGCCCGGCCATGTGGGGTCCACGGTAGAGAGGAGCAGAAGGAAGAAAAATTCTAGACTCTCACCTGCTCATTCACCCCTGCTGTGCAGTTTGACTCAATTCATTCCATCCCATTGGTTTGAAAGCCACGCAGAGAGGCCCCAAGCTCCCAGACGGTCCCTTCCAAGCTTTTTACAACTCCTCACATTGGGAAGTCCTTCGCTGAGTCTGATTCTGTGTAAGCACCTGAGAGATGCTTGAGTTGAGTTGCATTGAGTTGAGCTGAATGAGTTGAACTGAGATCCTGGTGTTGCCACCAAAGACTAAATTTCATTAAAACCCAGGGGCAACTGCAGAGCGGGTGGAGTTCTTTTCCCTGTCTCTGCACTCACTCAAAACCTGACAATCACAGGGCTGTTTTTCTGGTTCCTTTTCTCTCCTTCATCCTCTGCCTTGGAGGACTTAGGATCCTCGCGTGTCCCGTGCCCTCCTAATTTACCTGGGGATGTCAGTGACTTAAATATTACCTGACCCCCACTGCCACCCCCATCTAAAAGTTTTGTTTGCTTGTTAAAATGAAGAGACGTTCATCTCTACCATCACATGTGCATGAAGATTCACTGCTTTGTTTTCAGCTGGCTGAGAGAAAACAGAGCCAAGCAGGTGCAAGAAGGAGGATTCCAGCGTCTCCTTTATGATAACTGTTAGAAGATCTTCTGAAGAACAATTTGCATTTGTGTAGTTTTAAGGTTTACAAGGAAATTTGCACCTTTGACCTCATTTGGGCCTCATACCACCCCTAGGAGGGTATGGGGAAGAGATATTATTATCACTTTTATGTAAATAAAAAAAAGACTGATGTTCAGAAAAGTTAACTGATTTGCTTGGGATCACGTAGTTGAAAAGTGATAAAGTGGGGACTCAAGGTCAGGTCTTCAGCTTCTAAAGCATAATGTGGTAAAGTGCCACCCAGGAGCACTAGCCAGGAGGGCAATTTTGTAGAGCCACCTCCGCCAGTGCTTGATGTGTTCTACAGATCCTAGCACCACAACTGTCCTTGCTAAGCAACTATCGAACCGAGGTCAGTGGCAGATGGCTGGTGAGAAGGGAAACGTGCCCCACCCCAAAGCCAGGCTCACCTAGACCCAAGGTTCTACGAGGTTCATCTGTGTGCAGATTCACTCACTCCTCCTTCCAACCAATACTATGGCCACAAATCCCAAGGCTATATGATCTGTTTCACCTTCCAACCAAGTGCATTAAATAAAAGAAAGATTTTTTTCCCCATTAGTGAGACTAGGAAAAAAGAAATAGAAATCCACACATGCTGAAATTGCATCATATAAAGATCTAATGCGAGACATCCTGGACCCTCTGGAAGAATGTGCAAATGAGATTCAGCCAGCTCTAGAGGATGTATTGCTGCAAGATGCCTCAAATTGACATCCCTTGTAATTAGCCCACTATGATAATTTCATTAATTTGTCACTGGAAACCAAAGGAGAAATTGTTCCAGGTAATTGTCAGTAATTAGAGTAACCTTCCACCTCTCGTTAGAAAGATAGTAAAAGAGAAAGAGCCCTGGACGCTTTGATCCTCTAAGTGGCTGTGTTGGCAGGTTTGGGGATGGGGGTGGCTGTGGGTTGATGTCCCTATTTGTGAAGTGGGTCTGGGGGAATGGAGTACACAGAGAAACCTACAAACAATATTTCCTATGTGAAGGGTTTAGATACCAGCATCCCCACTGAGCTTGGATCACTTCTGATGTACGAGGATGTCCAGACCACCCCCCAACCCCAACCCACCTCAGCCTCTCTCACCTAACTCCTGAATCCTGATCCCATTGACGTCAAGGTAATTTGGGCTTGCTTCTTTGCCCATCTTCCTACTGTAGCTGGTTTTCAACTTCTCACCCACCAGACCACATTATATTCTTTCCACAATCACCACCTTCTCCAGAAAGCCTGCTTAGATCCCAGCAGCCCCTCTCTGCCACCTGCCACCCGCTCACCAAGCA